TAGCCCGCACCTGGCCAATGCCGGGATGGAGTGTTTAACCCCCCCCCCCCACACACACACCCGTCGAACTCGACTCCTGGGCTAGTTGTCGACTCGCTATATAAACCCACCGAGACAGCCTGCCCGTCACAGCCCGTCTCGGTGGGCTAAGATGGCGAACCGGTGCCTCGGGGTGGATATAGCTGGCGGCTCGCTAATCGCTATCTCCAGAGTTCAGTCGGCGACTGACTCATGACTGACCCTTGGAGTGCTCGGTGAGTAGTCTGGTGCTTTAGCGGATTTGGTTTATGCATGGATCAAGGATTTTCATCCATGTTAAGCTAAACACAGCCAAATAAGCTTCCGCAGCCAAACTATTGGGGAGAGGATTGAGTAGGGAAACCACTTGGAGACGCGCCGATTCCAATTGGTGTATCTGGACACAAGCCGGGGCTGGGGTGGGGCTTACAGTCAAGGAATTGGTATTGAGCATCTGCACGTGCTTTGCTGCGGAAACTCGACCTCCGACGATACCTTCCTTGATTCAGTGCAAGAACTTAGAGAAGAAAACATGACTGTAGATGCCAACTTATCCAACAGCGAAACAGGCCCGAATATGGCATGTGAGTGAAGACCATGCAGACATTCACAGATGTTGACAGAATTTCAGTTCAAACATGAACCAGAAAGATGACATAATAGAAAGGAGTGAGTGGCTGTATCAACTATGGTATGCCAGACAGGAGGTAATGGTTATAAAAAACAAGATGACAATTAGCACACTCCTTCCACTCCAGTGCCCTTTCTCGTACCCCAGACCATGCCTAACCAAACCCAGAGGCATGGGCGGAGAATTGTTTTCAAAGTTGGTATGGGGGCAGTTGCTTGAAACAATGGCTTAGGGGAGAGTGGGGCACTTTCGTGCATGTGACATTTCGTTTTCAGCAGTTTATGGGAAAACAAGTGACTGCCCGAGCTCAAGATATTATTATGAAAATATGTCTATTATTGCCGCCCCTTGTGTACTGTAAAAGACAACACGTTTATTTGTTGACCGATCAATTTTTGGATCTTTACCTCGTTGTTTCCCCAACTGATTTGTAGTAGACTCAGCTCAAGCTACAAAACTACTATTCCAGTACCTACTTAAAAACCCCCATCTTAAAAGTAAACTTTTTCCCTTGACGGTGTTCAGACCAGCACAAACCTTGCTAGTTTTGGTTCAATCCAGGATTTCATTTCTCTTACTGCAAATAACTACCCAATAACAACCTTAGTTAGGTTACCTAACTCAAACCAACTCAAACTCACCGCAGTCCGCACACACCTATCTGTAAGAATCTTGCACCATGGATTACTTGTTAGTTATCCACGTCTTGCACACACACACCCAGGGTATATTGACTTACACCACACCCACGTGCACCACGCTAGGTGTTTTCCCCTGAGAAGTAACTGTAACAGACGCGTCATGTTCAGCAGCATATGGTAGCTGTCTTAGAGGTAACCGCAGGTTGTTTGAAAAGACAAACACTATTCGTTAGAATTGTGTTTTTCTATTGAAAAACAACCGGAGCGGTCCTTCTCCGGGCTATGTTTTGCATGTCTGGCCGCGAATTGGGGCAACTTGGTAGGGGCCTAAACTTGTGGCTCGATTTTCGTAAAAATTTCAGTGTATGGGCTCCCGCAGGCGATCTACCTGTTGGCACCGGTCGCTACTCGCTTAAAACCTCGTGGCACGTGGCACGTGCGTTTCAATTTTCGCCCATGTTAAGTCAATGGGGTTTTGGACACTTTTTGCGCGATCGCGAATAGCGGAAAAAATCGCCGATCAAGGTATGGTTTGCTGCACACCATTTTATGACCGACACGTTCAGGTACACGCCCGTGTGCGCCGTATACCCGTCAGAATTCGTTAACTTGAGTTGCACGAGTTTGAAGTTGAACTTTTTTCGCTCCCCATGTTAAGTCTATGGACGTTTTTGCAGAGACATTTTCATTCGTTCATTGCACAAAATTATATGATACGATTTTGTTTTAACTTCCAGGACTTGTTGAGAAAAGACCATAGAACATGTTGTTATGCTTCATTATGAAATATAATGGGTATAATGGGCCCGTTTTGGGGTAATCGGCACGTGCATTTTCCCATAGGGTTAACATGGGGAAAATTTAAAATGCGATTTGCGAAAAATGTCGTCAATTATATTTGCTGATATTTTTAGGGTCGGATCTCGGGCTGACACCCCAACTGACGGTGGTAATTATTTAAAATATAATTGACAAAATTTCGGGTAATCGTCACGAACAGTTACCCAATGTTGAGCCTATGGCGATTTCGAAATATTATTTTCAAATCGATTTTGTCAAAAATTTCTACGTTAGATTTTGAAAATGTTCCAATATGTTGTGCCCCGGGGTATCGGCTACCACATGGTATGGGTCAGATATGGGGCGATTGAAAAGCACGTGACACGTGCAAACGTGTTTGATGGGGTAACCTCCGGGAGAATCCGACATTGGCCTACTCGGGGTCCTATGGCGTGGAAACGACTTCAACTAGCGACACCAAATCAGTGCAGCCGGTGAGCAGATGAGTCCAGCTTGTCGCACTAGTGGTCACGTGTCGCACGTGCTATTGCACGTGCCGTGGCACGGGGTCAATTTTGGTGCCTAAATATACTAGCATTGTGAAATGCAAGGAGTGGGGGAAATAGCCGTCAGGCCGTCAGTTTTTATGATAGGGTCGATCTGAAAATGGGTTTAGGCACAGAATGAAGGGGGCTACAAAACTGCTATCTCGGATTTTTTTGTAAAATGAAAAATTGAAAATTCTGGGGAAATTATATATTCGGAAGGTGAAATTTCCTTAAATTTTCCCGTTTTTCGAGTTTAGCCGTCCACTGTTCAGAGACGGTGACACCGGCCGGGGTCATCTTTTACATGCTGATGGCCACGTCGATGGGTCATCACGTGGCGTGAACGGTGAAGCTATCAGAGATCCGGCACGTGCCACGTGGCCACGTGTTTGAGTCGCGTACCTCCCAGATTATCGTGTGTTTGCCGATTTGTGGCCTTATAGCACGAAAACAGCACAAGCCAGGAACACTGAAATGGTGCAATCAGTGAGGGGACAAGTCCTGCTTACACCACCGGCGATCACGTGGCACACGTGCAAATTTGGGCACCTCCGTTGCGGATATATTTTATAGTGAAATATTCAAATGTACATAACTTTGTCAGTTTAAGTCCGATTGGACTAGAATTTGGTGGGTTGATGAATTGTTAAGCGACATGAACGAATGCGGCACGTTTGTTGCAGTGCGCCACGTTTGTCTCAAAGCGCCATTTTTGCCACAAAGTGCAGAATGTGCGTAACTTTGTCGAAAATTGGACGATTAGGATGCGCTGTAATTAAGGGATGGCTGCTTAAACGGTAGATATGAATGCACCACATTTGCCGCAGGGCGCCATATTTGTCTTAATGCTTCAGTGTTTGCGTTTTGCCTACGGCGGGCGTTTTTGCGGCGGTGTTTGCGTTTCTTCGGTGTTTGCGTTTGACGGCGGGCGGCCGTTTTTGCGTTTTTTGCGGTGTTTTTGTTTGGCGGCGGGCGGCCGTTTTTTGCGGCGTTTTGCGGTTGGCGGCGGGCGGGCGTGCGTTGCGGGCGTTTTTTGCGGCGGTGTTTGCGTTTTTTGTGTTTGGCGGCGGGCGGGCGGGCGATGCGGGTGTTTTGCGGTGTTTGCGTTTGGCGGCGGGCGGCCGTTTTAGCGGCGGTTTGCGGCGGGCGGCCGTTTTTTGCGGCGTTTTGTAGTTTGCGGCGGGCGGCCGTTTTTTGCGGGGTTTTGCGGTCGCCGGCGGCCGGGCGTTATTTGCGGTGTTGCGGTTTTAGGCGGGCGGCCGCGTTTTGCGGCGTTTGGCCTTTGGCGGCGAGCGATGCGGGCGATTTTTTGTGGCGGTGGTATTTGCGTTTTTTTGCGGTGGTTGCGTTTTGCGGCGGACGGGCGTTTTTGCGGCTTTTTTTGCGTTTTTTTCTGCGGTTTTGTGCCTGCGGACGATTGTTTTTTTGCGGCTTTTGCGTTGGCGTTTTGAGCGTGCGTTTTGCGAGTTTTGCGGTTTTGCGTTTTGCGGCGGGCGGGCGGTTTTTCACAATTAAAGTCCCAACCTTCGGATCCGCAGTGCTGTTCGACAAGCGCTGCCCGGGCCTAGAGTGCAGTGCATGTCAGTTCGTAGCACACCCATTCCGGTCTGCACGTGCAAGGCTCATCCTCTCGTTTGGCGGCGGGCTTTTTTTTGCGGCGTTACAGGGGTGCTTGCTCAAACAACCTGCGGTCCCGCGATGCGGAGCCCAGCATCGCAGATGCTGGTATTTTTTGTTGTGAATGTAAAAAAACTATATTTTACTAGCACCGCACGCCTAGTTTGTTCATTCATCGTTGTGCAAGCAAGGATCATGGATGCATAAGGATAAGAATACACTAGCGATGAAAAATGCAATAATAATGAGCTGAAATGGCAAAAAAAAACAAGAAGTTATGTAATGTTATGACTTATACTTAAAACGAGATAGTTTCCAGCTCCGGCAAAAACTCTTCGGACTGATGAGGTTGCAGTCTGCAGAGACACAAACCATTAAGAAATTGTCATTGTTAATGCCGAGATGTGGCAAGCTCTTCTCTTGCTGTACCTTTAGAAGTTCCAGAGGCAGAAATTGTCATATGTCGCAGGTGAACGGTGTCCAGGATAAAGGCGATAAAGGGATTTCCCTACCAAGGTTCCTGCTCCAAATATGCCTCATCATTTGCCGCAAAGTTAAAACCAAAGTTTTATTCAGTATTCTCGAAATTCTACTGACGTCATTTCAGAATGACCAATTGGGTTGCCGTAAAGGAAATAATTCTTTATCTTCCTCCAATAGAATTCACGAAAAACTAACCTATCTTTGTTTCTTATGACCGAATTAAATTTAATCTAGAATTTTCATTGTACTCCATGGCTTAAATCTTGAGTTGAGTTGCAGTTTCGATTCAGCGGTTTTTGTGCATGTAGGGATGTGTATATATGACCGTGGTATATAGGGTCTTGGACCGTGGGTGTTGTGGTGTGTTGTGTGTGTAAATTACGTATATCAATTGAGCAGCAGGTTGATATTCGCGAATATTAAACTAAAAATTAGATATTCGGACGGAAAATTGTGTACTTTTGTCTTGTGCGTGTTTGGGAGTTTCATCGTAACTATACCAATACCGGCTTTTGCTGTGAGGTAAGTTTGAATTGATTTTTAAGGTCAAGCTACACTAGCGTGACCAAGGGCGTCACTTTTCGAAATTTATTGGTAGGGCTCTAATGGTTACTTTAAGGATAGCAAAGCCATTTTTATCATACACTGCACTCTGCAGAGACGGCGTTTGAATTTTGACAATCGGTACAGTAGTTTTGGAGTTAGGAGGGGGCTATGAATAACAGCTCTCCAGTGGGGCACGGGATCTTGGCGAGTAGTGTATTGCAAAATGTTGCATAGCCGCTGAGGCGCACATTTGCGCACCTTTATACTGTCTGACCAGTTCAGTAACATTCCAGTGCGTATTGTGACACAATTTAGAGCGGGACCAAGGGGTACTCAAAAGATTGGTCTAACTAACTTAGTGATCGATTGATGAAATACTAGGACTTACTCCACAAGGAGATCGAATGGGTCGGAGCGCTTTCAATATGTATTATACATATCGTCGTCAGCGAATCAATAACGGGTCGAATCGAGTCGGGTATCGAAGAGGTTCGGGAGCTGCGCGGCAGAGCGATCACATACTATTCGAATTATGCATTAAAGAGAATAAAAAACACGTGAGAACAATCATGATACACTAGCTGCTAAAATGAATTAAAATGGGGTGCTAAAATGCATAAATGGCACGTATAAAAATACAATAAAGGGGGGGGGGAAACAGGATACCTATGGTGATAAAGACTGAGTAGAAAAGACTATACAAAAATGAGTGCAAAAACTGTAAAAGGACGAGTACAAATATAAATACATACAAAGGCCGAACTAGACGTAAACACTACTGACAAAAACGGCGGATTATCGGCAGCCAGCGGTCATGCAGCAGGGCACCCGAGTTCCTGTTCACGTTTGCGTCATTCGGCGACACCAGGACGGCTTCACGCCGACCAACAGTCCGAATATAGGCCGATTCCAGGAGAAGTCGCATCTGGTGATGACTGGCTCGATTCAAGATCTTGATGGCATCGAAAGCAGGTGAGCAGTCTCTATGGGTACTGAAGGCCGATGTATTGGCTCTCGAGCGGACTGCTCCAGTCCAGCTCTCCCGGTGTTCTCGGAGTCTCGTGCCCAGCTCACGATCTGTCTCGCCGATATAGACCATTGGGTCACCGTCCACTTGGCAGGAGCACTCGATCCGATAGATGACGTTGCTCTGTTGTAGCTTAGGCAGATGGTGCTTAGCCTTGCTGCAGAGCAGCGAGCCGATGGTGACTGAAGGCTTGGAGACGAGCTGGATCCCGATCTTGCTGGCCTCCCGTTTGAGTTGGTAGAACAGGGGGCCGGCAAACGGAACAGAGACTCGGACAGGCGCCGGGTGTGAGTTCGCGCTAGGTGGCGCTGGTAGGGCCCTTGCCTTCAGTCTGAGATCGGTCCGAGTCTTCTGAATGGCCGAGTCGATGAATGATCGTGGGTAGCCATGATGATGAAACTTCTGGCGGATGAAGTCAAGCTCCTGCTGGCGGTCTCTCATGGACGAACAGTATCGGATCGCTCGAGTGCAGTCAGATCGAATGGCCGCTCTCAGGTAGCGGGTCTCGGTGTAGGAGCTGAAGGCAGGCACTTGGTTGGTGTTGCAGGACTTCCTGTAGACCTTGGTGCAGAACTTGTCGTCTCTTCTAGTGATGCAGATGTCAAGATACGGTAGCTGTCGGTTTACTTCCAAGTCAGTGGTGACATTGATGCTGGAGTCCTTGCTGTTCAGCTGGTTGACCCACGTGCTGAGGATGTCGTCACTGCCCTCGAACAAGACCAGGTAGTCGTCCGCGTATCGGCAGAAAGCATGGACCCTGCCACCACAGTTGGCCGCCAGGAGCTCCAGATCGAGAGACAGACAGGCGAGACAGATCGTGAGCTGGGCACGAGACTCCGAGAACACCGGGAGAGCTGGACTGGAGCAGTCCGCTCGAGAGCCAATACATCGGCCTTCAGTACCCATAGAGACTGCTCACCTGCTTTCGATGCCATCAAGATCTTGAATCGAGCCAGTCATCACCAGATGCGACTTCTCCTGGAATCGGCCTATATTCGGACTGTTGGTCGGCGTGAAGCCGTCCTGGTGTCGCCGAATGACGCAAACGTGAACAGGAACTCGGGTGCCCTGCTGCATGACCGCTGGCTGCCGATAATCCGCCGTTTTTTGTCAGTAGTGTTTACGTCTAGTTCGGCCTTTGTATGTATTTATATTTGTACTCGTCCTTTTACAGTTTTTGCACTCATTTTTGTATAGTCTTTTCTACTCAGTCTTTATCACCATAGGTATCCTGTTTCCCCCCCCCCCCCCTTTATTGTATTTTTATACGTGCCATTTATGCATTTTAGCACCCCATTTTAATTCATTTTAGCAGCTAGTGTATCATGATTGTTCTCACGTGTTTTTTATTCTCTTTAATGCATAATTCGAATAGTATGTGATCGCTCTGCCGCGCAGCTCCCGAACCTCTTCGATACCCGACTCGATTCGACCCGTTATTGATTCGCTGACGACGATATGTATAATACATATTGAAAGCGCTCCGACCCATTCGATCTCCTTGTGGAGTAAGTCCTAGTATTTCATCAATTTAATTCCATCTCCACATCATGTCATTACGTTAGTGATCGATGTTAGTTTAAAAAATATGAGATGACGCACAGGGATGGATATCTGTGCTGAGTTGGGGTAGCACGAGCTTTCCCAATTTCACGGCGACTTGGCTGTAGCCGCAAAGACAGCGGAGGTCAAGGTCACTGCTGGGACGGTGGCAGATTTGCTGCGCCCATGCTACCCCAACTTGGCACGTTTGTCCATTCCACCCCTGATGACGCGATGATATGCTGATCTCTCATGTTGCTTGATAATGCGTCTCGTCTCATCTCATTTTTCTTCGAGCAGGATTGATCGTAACATGTCACAGAACAACTCATAAAAACATTGACGAGGATAACTAACACACTTAGGATCCCCATGGCATATACTTTGACTCTTCAAACATCCATTAATGATGACTTGTCCACCGTCAACAAAACAAAAAACTTTGTGTTTGATGTCCCTTTTCCTCATACCAAGATGTTGCATGACCAAATAACTGTCTTGTATGTAAGGTGTTGACATTTTGCCATCAATTGGTATGCTTTTTGTTTTCATAAAAGCGAAAGTTTTTTGGGATTGTGAGGCTAGACCAGTCCAAACGCCTACAGTGCGCCCCGAGCGCGACTGTCCACAGTGTAGCGACCTGGGCTGCCCAGCGGCGCGCTGCTTGATGTGTTACGAGGGCCCGGACACACTGTAGCACGTGCTACTAAGGTGCTCGTGGTTGGTTTTCGTGAGGATCCGACTATTTGGCAATATAAGACCGGCCCCCACTTTTGACTCCATCCTCAGGACATTCAAATCCTTCACATCCACGCCGAAACCCTCGGTCCGGGCTGGGCAGGCAACTTTATCTCACTTACTCGTAACTTCACTCGTACCCGTAGCCAGGTACGTACGGGGGGGGGGAGGGGGGCTGGTCGGCCTGTCGTTTGGGACGGCCTCAGCCCTGGTGACTCACTAGGTTGCCTGCCCAGTCCAATGTCTCCCCTAATTCCTATCATCCCTCCATCTTTGAAATGGTTTTGTCAGACCAAACGGACCCTAACCCGCGCCCCACTGGGGGGGGGGGGGCTTTTCATAGCCCCTTCCCGTTTTTCTGCAATAACTTCTAAAACGCTTGACGTATCGCCGCCAAATTTTCATTACCTTCGGCTGCATCATTTCGACACCTTGTGTCAAAATTTGAACTTCGTATTTATCATAGGTCGGCCGGAAATGACGTCAGAGTGACGTTATGTTCGGCCGATTTCGACGCAAAACATTGAACCATGGGAATCGCTCCTAAGAGCTCAGTTTTTGAGCTAGATCCAATTTCTTTGCATGAGAGGACTCAGAATGAGCTGCGCTATCAAACTGCCATATCGAATTTTCAAAATTTTGAAGATTTCGAAAATTATATACCTATATTAAAATTCAAAATTTTTATTTGTATTTTTTTCAAAACTTTTTTACTTTTCGAAAAACCGGAATATATATGATAGAACACATGCTTATGACTAACTCTAGCAAGTTTTAGCCAGATATCTTCAAAAATGACCAAGTTATACGCATTATAGCAAAAATTTCACAATTTTAATTTTTTTCAAATCAATTTTTCTGCACGAATTTGACATCGTACACCAATATCAATAGCACCATCGTGTTCCTGAGCTCAAACTGCATCTGATAGACATGTTTTTGTTGAAAAATTTTAACTTTGAAATTTTACCTTTTTTGACCTGAAAGTGACCTAACCTCAGCTATATTCAGATGAAAATGGCCTCAAATAACACAGGCGACACCACACCGATTTCGAAATTTATGGCCTAAATGGACCATAAAACATGTGTCACGTGACCGACTTATGGACATAAGATTTCCGTGACCTTTGATGACCTGACCCTGACCTGAAAATCAAAGTACAAGTTTCGTACCCTCAGGGTATCTAAAGCATCTGTTCACGAGTGTGTAAACAAAAAATCAGCCTGATCTGACTTGTAAGCCGGAGGCCAGAGCCCAAAAAGTGAACAAGCCAAATATCGATAATTTTTACTTTTACCTAACCTGTGACGTCATCGATGACCTCGAGGCCAATGAAATTAGGTTTCGCTCGACATTTTTTCCGGGGCTATCAGATGCCGTTTGAATTTTGACGATCGGCCCAGTAGTTTCGGAGTTAGGGAGGGGGCTATGAATAGCCCCCCCCCCCCCCCAGTGGGGCGTGTTATACACAGACCCCAGTGGGGCGCGGGATAAACAAGTCACTTGGATGTCACTTCCCACACGCTGGGTTATTGTCCAATGCAAACAAAGCCTCACCGTGAACTGGAGGCACTGGAGCAAAATATTACCGTAACTTTCAGTGATGTTTAAAAAGAACGCGCTCGCTTGATCTACGCGTTTGTATATCTTTGTCTGTCTGTATACTGATGTGTTCATCGATTGGTTTGTGTGTCCTGATTACCTACATCAGATCATGAATTGGGGAGATTTTACCGAAAATGCAGTCGAGTAAATTTCACAAAAACTATTTTCGGAATGCCTTAAACATAAACACAATGTTCTTAGATGACCTAGGTTGACCTTGACCCTGACCCTAACATCTGTACCTACATCGTCGATGTTCCATGACAGTTAGGAGGTAGGTACGAGTGGCAAACAAAATCTGAAATCATGGTCAGTGAACAAGACCCAAAGCCAACGCGGGATATTGGGCATTGGTCATTTGGGTCATGTCGTGACCTGAGGAGCAAGGTCATATCCCCGGATGCAAATACCACAGAAACTTGCAAATTTTCAGTGGCCAATGCAAAAAGGTAGAAAAATAGCTCCATGAAAAAAATCAAACCATTACCTCTACAGATGTTTACTATAGTGCATAAAGACTACTGGGAGGGGGAGGGGGCAGCCACCTCCTCCCCAATGTGTGGGCAAGGGTCAGTGCTTATTGCTTATGCCTACTTTTTCTGACCACTTTGACGAGCTGATTGGGTCCGTTTATGACATCTGTTGGTTTATGTCGCTCCGTTCGCCAGAGTTCTGATTGCCCACCGTCGTTCGCGGGCCGAGCCAAAATGGCGGTCGAAGACGTGGAGATGAAGGACGCCAAATCGCCGGAGGAGGCGACCGAGCCAGAGCCAGAGAAGAAAGATGTCAACATTCTCACACTGGAAGGTAAGCACCGTGCCATTTTACCATCAAACACTCTGAGATAGGTATAGCTGTTTCATTTGTCGACACGTCACCAGCCCCACACAATATATTTAGATATGTTGTTGCTTTAGCTTGCGTCCGGTCGGGGATCTCAGCCAAATCCACCTGGGGGGGGGGGGGGGGGAGGCGAGGCGATTGACCACACGGCGTTATCTTGGAAACCAACAATGCCAGGAAGGCGCAGAGAAGCAACAGATAACTCGCTATGACAGCTTTCGGAATTAGCTCATTTTCCATCTGGTCATCGCTGGAGGTCACCAAAATTAAAATAATCACATAAAATTTTCCCGATTTTAACAATATTACACAAATTTATATTAGGTACTGTTCTATTTGAGGTGGGTGCTGCTCACATCTGTGGTTGAAGCCATGGTGATACGTTGCGTGGGGTACAGGCTAGACCGTTGCGCCTAGCGCGCTGATACTTGCGCAAGGTATAGACCAAGGATGCGTAACGTCCTTTTGAAGGGTTTGAGCTCTGTCGGATCGATAGTGAGCGCGTGGCACGTGCCCAAAAAGTGTAAATTCGCGTCGTACACCTTACATGTAAAAATCGGGCGAAAACGGCTAAATTTGGCTGATACGGGTCCGATGCCGGTGCAATATTTCGGTAACCGCGCGCCTGATCGGCACGGGGAAAATAGTATGCTGTAGAAAATTAAACAGGCTGTCGAATGGTGTGTGATGCAGAGGATGGCACGTGCCACGTGCACCCCGAGGGCACTTATTTGAAGAAAAAAAATTGATGTTTTGTACGAATTTTGGAGTTAAAGGGACCCTCCCACCTTAACATTAGATTTGAGTTGAGATAGCCAAAATGGGGTCCCTGACTCACAATTACCGGTTTCGGCACTCACAACATCGAGAAATGCCTTAAATCGGAAATATTGAATTTCAAAATTGCAGCATTTTGATTCAGAGGGGCTAATGCATAGGAATACCCCTCTGAATGTGTGACGTCAGCGCAGATATCTAACGATTTTTAAATGTTTGACTAAAACGTTTTGTAGCACGCGGTGGTATATGCTGCTTTGCGCGCAACAAGTGCCGCACTTTCAGCTGCCAAACAAACTATTGCTTCCAAATAAAGTCGCTAGGAACAGCGGAGATCCCAAAAAGTAAACGAAAGTAAAAGTCTAATATCTTGAAAACCGATGAATATTTTTCGGTGAAATTTGGTAGATATTCGTTTTCGCTCTTTCTGAACCGAGCGACATCACTTTCATGCCAATTCATAAACTTTTTTGAAGGTGGGAGGGTCCCTTTAATGTTATTTTTAGGTGACCGTCAGCCGGAGCGAGTTGAAACAACGCTTATTGGCAAGAAAAATGTATTACCTCTCATGGAAAAATTGTGAAAAATAATGAATTGATCAAAATCAAGGTGGTACGAACCGCGGGTTCGTACCACCTTGACCATCCTAAACCATCAAACCGTGGCGCGTGTGGACTGGTTAATGTCGTTCAAACAATGGTTAAACTGCGTTCAAATATGGTTAAGAGCAATATACCACTGAAAAGTGATAATGATTAATGAAACCCACCAGTAAAACGCCTTTTGGGGCGACCAACGAGTGAGCAAGAGGGCGAGCCTTGCTTGTGCGGAATTGCGAGGGGGCACTTCCAACTGACTTGTGCACGGCACCCTGCTAACCGGTCCCAAACGGTGTACCAAATTTGAGCGCAATCGGTTCAGTCGTTCTTGAGATCTGGAGACTGGAAACGACCCCTGTATGTGCACACGTGCAGCACGTGCGGTCAGCCTGTGACGTCCTACATGTGATGACGTAGTGGTGTGGGCGGGACTAACGGACGACGTAGCCCCATGCGTGCTGCAGCATATTTCATTTTTGCTGCGCAGCCGAACAGCCCTCAAATGTCAGGTGTATAATAGTATGTTAATGTCTTCCGGGCAGTCCCACACACCCTATTTCAATGTCCTCCGGGCAGTCCCCCCAGTCTGTCCCCCCGGGCGTCCCCCCCCCAGTCTGTCCCCCGGGCAACCCCCCCCCCTTTCCCGGGCGGTGCCGCGCGCGGCACCTCACCGTCCGGCCTCGGTCTCGGCAGATATCCGCGAGCAGGCCAAACAGATCGAGAAGTCAGTGAGCAGCAAGGAGCCGCGGTTCGCGCTGCGCGTGCTGCGCGCCCTGCCGGCCACGCGGCGCCGGCTGAACGCGCTCGTCCTGAAGCGGCTGCTGCACACCTCGTACACGCACTCTGCCCAGGAGCGCGACACGCTGCTGGCCTTTGTGGAGGAGGTATGAGCCGCCGGCACGGGGCGGGGACGGTGACGCGCCGCCTCGGGTACCCGACTGTCGACTCTGGCCGGGGGTGTGTCCGCCGTAATATATCAGCTATCTTTTCTGCAAGCACGGTCTTTCGTGGGAAAGCTGCCATCGAATCGTAAAAAGCCTGTAACTGTGGTGCATAATTTGTGATGTCACTGATTGTGTTCGCTGATGTCGCTGATTGTCCAGTGTCTCTGCCCCCGTGTTGCCCGGCGTGCTCAGTCGGCGTGAGTCAGTCGGCTCCTGGCTGACTGACTGCGGCTGTGCGGGGCCCACCGCGAGACCACCCGGCCTCTCGCCCGGTCCATTACGCCGCTGACTTGCCGCCCTCTCCCCCTGCCGCTGACCCGCCGCCCGCAGCCCTCCGATCCCGAGGAGCCGACGTCCACGTTCCGAATGCGCAGCAACAAGGCGTCCCAGAGCCCGCTGCTGCCCGAGCAGGACGCCTACTTCCACCTGTTGGTGCTGCTGCGGCTGCTGGACTCGAACCGCAACCAGGAGGCCGTCACCTGCTCAGGTGGGCAGCCGGGACAGGGGGACACTGGGGCAGGCGGGACACGGGAGCGGGACAGGGGGACACTGGGGCAGACGGGACAGGGGGACACTGAGGCAGGCGGGTCAGGGGGACACTGGGGCAGGCGGGACAGGGGGACACTGGGGCAGGCGGGACAGGGGGACACTGGGGCAGGCGGGACAGGGGGACACTGGGGCAGGCGGTACAGGGGGACACTGGGGCAGGTGGTACAGGGGGACACTGGGGCAGGTGGGACAGGGGGACACTGGGGCAGACGGGACAGGGGGACACTGGGGCAGGGGGGACAGGGTGACACTGGGGCAGACGGGACAGCGGGACAGGGGGACACTGGGGCACACGGGACAGGGGAGCGGGACAGGGGGACACTGGGGCAGGCGGGACAGGGGGACACTGGGACAGGCGGGACAGGGGGACACTGGGGCAGGTGGTACAGGGGGACACTGGGGCAGGCGGGACAGGGGGACACTGTGGCAGGCGGGACAGGGGAGCGGGACCGGGGGATACTGTGGCAGGCGGGACAGGGGGACACTGGTGCACACGGGACCGGGGGACGGTGAGGCAGACGGGACAGGGGAGGCGGCCGGCGCCTGCTTTGGTGGACGGGGAGGCGCCCGGACCGGAGACAAACGGGACAGGCCAGGGTCCGTGCTGTGACATTGGGCCGCTGATGACTGGGCCGTGGTGTGACGGTGAGCACTGCTGTGACAGTGAGCACAGAGCGGCTGCTGACTGGGTGGTGCCGTTACAGAGCAGCTGATGGCCAAGCTGAGCGGGCTGAACCGGCGCACACTGGACCTGATGGCGGCGCGCTGCTACTTCTACTACATGCGCAGCTACGAGGCCACCGGACAGGTGAACCGCATCAAGGGGTGAGTGAGGCGGGACATAGCGCGGCCCGCCGCCCATCCCGCCGCCCGCTGTCCGGTGAACTGGGCTGTGGACGCCGCTCTGCTGTGGACTGCGGACGCCGCCGGTTTGTTTTCTGGGGCCTGTGCGCAGGCAGACACGTTGATGACGTATGACGCAGGCTAGTAATGGCATGCTAATGACGGGACGTCCCTAAAACCCAACCATCCTGTGCGTCCACCGTCGTGAACTCGGCCCGACTGCCGACTGGGCTTACGGCGCGGGACATGTTTTTGTTTGTCTACACTGTGTAGTGTGTGCAGCTTTTATGCTGAGTTTTAACCCTCGCCCGTAAACGGCGATCTGCCACCTTCGCCCATGCAGGGGGGGGGGGGGTTGGTGCGACCCCCCCCCCCTTGGCGTTTGAAAACGGAGCGTCGTAGAGCTTAGCGGAAAATACCAACGGATTGCTCTCGCCGAGATCTCGCGATTGGTGGTATATTTTTTGGTCCTAGGTCAACATTTGACCTACTTTTGACCGGTCAAAGGTCAAATTTTCGGAAAAATATACTTTTTTCAACTTTCCGCGGCGATTGCGGCAAAACGGTGGGAGATATCGACTTGAAACCTTTACTATCGTGTTCCTTGATCAATTCTCTATTGTTTGGTATGTATTTCGTTTCCCTAGCTCTAAAAATGGCGCGTTGGGAGCGCCGGAAGTCGGCAAGGTCACAGTCGGCGGCAGAAATTCGAAAAATCAAAATTTAAATTTTTGAAATCTGATTGTATTTTTGGATTTGGAAGGTCCATTTGCTCCCTATAGAAGCTAATATTGCTGCATATTCCCATTGAGGTGACAAGAATTAGCAAAATAGTGGTTCGGGCGCTTTTCAAAAATAGTACCGGACGCTGTTCCTCTTGTGACGTCATAGCTCCGTGACCTGACCTGACCCGGTCAAGTTTCTTATACCATATGATAGCCAATACTTGCCCCAACATGCATGGGAAGTTTCATCACGATCCATCAACCGATGTCCGTACCACCGGCAGGAAACCTCGGGCGTTGGCACTCAGTTTGTGAAAATCCGGCCGGAGGCTGTTCCCTTTGTGACGTCATAACTCCGTGACCTGACATGACCCGGTCAAATTTTTTTTATCAAAAGATGCGCAAGGTTTGCCCCATAAGGTACCCAAAATTTGGCGGCGCTGCGCGCCGCCGTTTTTGCACTATTTCCGAAAAACCTCAGGGGGGGGGGGTTGCACCAACCCCCCCTACATGGGCGAGGGTTAAGTGTTCACTGTTCAGTCACCCGAGCAACTCATCTGAGTAGCTGCAGCGTGTTATTGGCTGCTGCAGCGTGTTACTGCTGCCGCGGACAGTGTGTCACTGACTGCTGCAGTGTGTTACTGATTGCCGTGGACAGTGTGTTACTGACTGCCGTGGACAGTGTGTTACTGACTGCTGCAGTGTGTTACTGACTGCTGCAGTGTGTTACTGACTGCCGTGGACAGTGTGTTACTGACTGCCGTGGACAGTGTGTTACTGACTGCCGCAGACAGTGTGTTACTGGCTGCCGTGGACAGTGTGTTACTGACTGCCGTGGACAGTGTGTTACTGACTGCTGCAGTGTGTTACTGACTGCTGCAGTGTGTTACTGACTGGTGCGGACAGTGTGTTACTGACTGGTGCGGACAGTGTGTTACTGACTGCTGCAGTGTGATACTGACTGCTGCAGTGTGTTACTGACTGCCGTGGACAGTGTGTTACTGACTGCTGCAGTGTGTTACTGACTGCCGTGGACAGTGTGTTACTGACTGCCGTGGACAGTGTGTTACTGACTGCCGTGGACAGTGTGTTACTGACTGCCGTGGACAGTGTGTTACTGACTGCCGTGGACAGTGTGTTACTGACTGCCGTGGACAGTGTGTTACTGACTGCTGCAGTGTGTTACTGACTGGTGCGGACAGTGTGTTACTGACTGCTGCAGTGTGATACTGACTGCTGCAGTGTGTTACTGGCTGCTGCGGACAGTGTGTTTCTGACTGCTGCAGTGTGTTACTGACTGCCGCGGACAGTGTGTTACTGACTGTTGCGGACAGCGTGTTACTGACTGCCGCGGACACTGTGTTACTGACTGCTGCAGTGTGTTACTGACTGCTGCAGTGTGTTACTGACTGCTGCGGACAGTGTGTTACTGACTGCTGCAGTGTGTTACTGACTGCCGCGGACAGTGTGTTACTGACTGCTGCAGTGTGTTACTGACTGCCGCGGACAGTGTGTTACTGACTGCCGCAGTGTGTTACTGACTGCCGCGGACAGTGTGTTACTGACTGCTGCAGTGTGTTACTGACTGATGCAGTGTGTTATTGACTGCCGCGGATAGTGTGTTACTGACTGGTGCAGTGTGTTACTGACTGGTGCGGACAGTGTGTTACTGACTGCTGCAGTGTGTTACTGACTGCCGCGGACAGTGTGTTACTGACTGCTGCAGTGTGTTACTGACTGCCGCAGACAGTGTTTAATTGGCAGCTGCAGCGTGTTACTGATTGGTGCGGACAGTGTGTTACTGACTGATGCAGTGTGTTACTGACTGATGCGGACAGTATGTTACTGACAGCTGCAGTGTGTTACTGGCTGCTGCGGACAGTGTGTTACTGACTGCCGCGGACATTGTGTTACTGACTGGTGCGTACAGTGTGTTACTGACTGGTGCAGTGTGTTACTGACCGGTGCGGACAGTGTGTTACTGACTGGTGCGGACAGTGTGTTACTGACTGCTGCAGGGTGTTACTGACTGGTGCGGACAGTGTGTTACTGACTGCTGCAGTGTGTTACTGACTGCTGCAGTGTGTTACTGACTGCTGCAGTGTGTTACTGACTGCTGCAGTGTGACACTGACTGCCGCGGACAGTGTGTTACTGACTGCTGCAGTGTGTTACTGACTGCTGCAGTGTGTTACTGACAGCGGACAGTGTGTTACTGACTGCCGCGGACAGTGTGTTACTGACTGCCGCGGACAGTGTTACTGACTGCCGCGGACAGTGTGTTACTGACTGCCGCGGACAGTGTGTTACTGACTGCCGCGGACAGTGTTACTGACTGCCGCGGACAGTGTGTTACTGACTGCCGTGGACAGTGTGTTACTGACTGCCACGGACAGTGTTACTGACTGCCGCGGACAGTGTGTTACTGACTCCCGCGGACAGTGTGTTACTGACTGCCACGGACAGTGTTACTGACTGCCGCGGACAGTGTGTTACTGACTGCCGCGGACAGTGTGTTACTGACTCCCGCGGACAGTGTGTTACTGACTGCCGTGGACAGTGTGTTACTGACTGCTACAGTGTGTTACAGACTGCCGCGGACAGTGTGTTACTGACTGCTGCAGTGTGTTACTGACTGCCGCGGACAGTGTGTTACTGACTGCTGCAGTGTGTCACTGACTGCCGCGGACAGTGTGTTACTGACTGCTGCAGTGTGTTACTGACTGCTGCAGTGTGTTACTGACTGCCGCAGTATGTTACTGACTGCCGCAGTGTGTTACTGACTGCCGCGGACAGTGTGTTACTGATTGGTGCAGCGTGTTACTGACTGGTGCGGACAGTGTGTTACTGACTGCCGTGGACAGTGTGTTACTGACTGCTGCAGTGTGTTACTGACTGCCGCGGACAGTGCCGGTCCCCGTGCCAGCGGCGGCCCGAGGGACGCCAGTGCAGTGACTGTGACTGTGACTCCGTCCCGTCAGGGTGCTGCACGCGCGCCTGCGCACGGCCACGCTCCGTAACGACTACGAGGGCCAGGCGGTGCTCATCAACTGCCTGCTGCGCGCCTATCTGCACGGCAACTTGTACGAGCAGGCCGACAAACTGGTCTCCAAGTCTGTGTTCCCCGAGTCGGCGTCCAACAACGAGTGGGCGCGCTACCTCTACTACCTGGGCCGCATCCAGGCGGCGCAGCTCGACTACTCGGAGGCGCACAAGCACCTGCTGCAGGCGCTCCGCAAGGCGCCGCAGACCTCGGCCGTCGGCTTCAAACAGACGGTGGGTGCCGTCAGGGCGGGTGCAGCGCGCCGCTGGCCGCGTCCCGGCTCTCCGGGCAGTGTCCCGGTGACACGGCCGCGTCCCGGCTCTGCGGGCTGTCCCGGTGACACGGCCGCGTCCCGGCTCTGCGGGCTGTCGGGGTGACACGGCCGCGTCCCGGCTCTGCGGGCTGTCCCGGTGACACGGCCGCGTCCCGGCTCAGCGGGCTGTCCCGGTGACACGGCCGCGTCCCGGCTCAGCGGGCTGTCCCGGTGACACGGCCGCGTCCCGGCTCTGCGGGCAGTGTCCCGGGGACACGTCCGCGTCCCGGCTCTGCGGGCCGCGTCCCGGCTCTGCGGGCTGTCCCGGTGTGACACCGCCGCCCGCCTCGGTCCACAGGTGCAGAAGCTGGCGGTGACGGTCGAGCTGCTGATGGGTGACATTCCGCAGCGGCAGACGTTCCGAAAACCAGAGCTGCGCCGGCCGCTGGCGCCCTACTTCCAGCTGACGCAGAGTGAGTCCCACACTGACAGTCCGACACTGACACAGAATGAGTCCCACACTGACACAGAGTGAGTCCCACACTGACACAGAATGAGTCCCACACGGACTCATAGTGAGTCCCACAGTGACACAGTGAGCCCCACAGTGACACAGTGAGCCCCACAGTGACACAGTGAGTCCCACAGTAACACAATGAGTCTCACAGTGACACACTGAGTTCCACAGTGACACAATGAGTCCCACACTGACACAGAGTGAGTCCCTCACTGACACAGTGAGTACCACACTGACAGTCCCACACTGACACACCGTGAGTCCCACACTGACAGTCCCACACTGACACAGAGTGAGTCCCACACTGACACAGTGAGTCCCACACTGACACAGAGTGAGTCCCACACTGACACAATGAGTCCCACACTGACACAGTGAGTCCCACACTGACACAATGAGTCCCACACTGACACAGTGAGTCCCACACTGACATCATGAGTCCCACACTAACAGAGTGAGGCGTAACGATAACCCGTTCTGTCCCCAGCGGTCCGTAATTGTCCCAGCGGTCCGTAAACGGTAATTGTGCTGTTTCCCCAGCGGTCCGTAAACGGTAATTGTGCTGTTTCCGCAGCGGTGCGTAACGGTAATTGTGCTGTTTCCGCAGCGGTGCGTAAACGGTAATTATGCTGTTTCCCCAGCGGTCCGTAAACAGTAATTGTGCTGTTTCCCCAGCGGTCCGTAAACGGTAATTGTGCTGTTTCCGCAGCGGTGCGTAACGGTAATTGTGCTGTTTCCGCAGCGGTGCGTAACGGTAATTGTGTTGTTTCCGCAGCGGTCCGTAAACGGTAATTATTAGTGGTGCCAATTTCATGAAATTTCAATTCCAATTCCGATCCAATTCCAAGAAATTGCCAAGTAAATTTCCAATTTTGTCCAAAGCGGGGGCTATTCCAATTTTTAAAGATTTTTGCATTTTTTTGCGTAAATTTTAAAAGTGTTTAAAAGCGTTTTAAAGGCCTCCGTTTTAAAATTTAAAATTTTAAAGGCCTTGTGTTCCGATTAATTTCCAAAAAATGTTAAGAATTCCGTCCAAATTCCAAATTGGAATTGGACAAAAATTGGAATTCCAAGAAAAGAAATTCCGATTGGCACCAATAGTAATTATGCTGTTTCCCCAGCGGTCCGTAAACGGTAATTGTGCTGTTTCCCCAGCGGTCCGTAACGGTAATTGTGCTGTTTCCGCAGCGGTGCGTAACGGTAATTGTGCTGTTTCCGCAGCGGTGCGTAACGGTAATTGTGTTGTTTCCGCAGCGGTCCGTAACGGTAATTATGCTGTTTCCGCAGCGGTCCGTAACGGTAATTGTTCGGTTTCCCCAGCGGTCCGTGACGGTAGTTGTGCTGTTTCCGCAGCGGTCCGTAACGGTAATTGTGCTGTTTCCGCAGCGGTGCGTAACGGTAACCTGCAGCAGTTCAACGCCACGCTGCAGCAGCACGGGGCGCGCTTCCAGCGCGACCACACGCTCACGCTCATCTACCGGCTGCGCACCAACGTCATCAAGACGGCGATCCGCTCGCTGAGCGTCAGCTACTCGCGCATCAGCCTGGAGGACGTGGCCAGGAAGCTGCTGCTCGACTCGGCCGAGGACGCCGAGTTCATCGTGGCCAAGGTGGGCGCCGCGCGGCCGCTGTCCAGCCAGGCGCAGCCGCGCGGCCGGTCCCCAGTGGGGGCAGCCGCGCGGCCGCTGTCCAGTGGGCGCGCCGGGCGGCCGCTGTCCAGCCAGGGGCAGCCGGGCGGCCGCTGTCCAGCCAGGGGCAGCCGCGCGGCCCGCTGTCCAGTGGGCGCGCCGGGCGGCCGCTGTCCACAGGGGCAGCCGGGCGGCCCGCTGTCCAGTGGGCGCGCCGCGCGGCCGCTGTCCAGTGGGGGCAGCCGCGCGGTCGGTCCCCAGTGGGGGGCAGCCGTGCGGCCCACTCCTGTCGTAGTCAGGCGAGAGCATTCAGTCAGGGGCGGCGGCAGCGGGCGGACTGTCCACCGCCTCATTTCTGCGTACACAACACTCCTTTACTATTAAAAAATGTGTGATGTTTTTACTTAATTATCTAATTGCTTTTTTACACTCGTTAAAGGAAGGGTGCCACCTTTTGGACACAACGCAGTTTTTACAAGATTAGCCTCACATGAACCTAAAAACCGGCTTCACTTACCTATGCTCGAGACGGTCAGCATTGAATCCGCACGTGAAGTTATCATTTGCGAGTTTTGCTGCCAGCATTCGGGCAGGCAAAAATCTTCAGCACTATTTCCTCGTCGTGTTAAGGGTATTTTATAAAACATGAAATCAGCAAAGGTATGTATAAAAGTTATACTTTTGAAGCATGTTTTATCATTTTGAAAGGGTATATTTTTTCTTTATGGTATACACTTGAGTTTTAAAATTTTGATTGGGAAGTTTTTCTAGTAAGTTGCATGAAGGGTGAAGGGTTCCATAGATCTCTTAAGCATTGTAAAGGAAAAACCTTTACTCGACTTATTTACTCGACTTATAATATGGCCAACAGTTACCTACTTGGTTACCTACAACTTAGTTCAAATCATGTTATCTTCTTCCTTTTTATTTGTTCATCTTTTTGTCTCAGTTGCGCCATCAATGCAAATGGCAGAATGATATGTTGCCATGACAACAGGATATGCCAGCCGTCCTAGCTGCCACATCAAACGACCTTGAGTTGTAGTGGTGATATAAACAACGATCTTTTTTTTGCCAATGTATTAAATGCAATGTTTCGGTTTTTTGTATATTGTGGACGCGCTAACCACGTCTAAAAATTCAAATAAGTAAAATAGATTCATAGAACAAAAATTTCGGAAGGTGGCACCCTTCCTTTAACCCTCGCCGGCATAGGGGTTGATGCCCCCTAAGGTTTTTCGCGAATAACGCGTAAAAAGCGGCCGATCGCGACGAAACTTTCAGTACCCTCGCATTGATTAATTTTACACGTTCCCTGAAAATGTCATGACCCTGACCCCAATGACCTTTGACCTGTGACTTCTCTTCCGTGACCATGTTTGGCCGAAATCGCGATTCGGCGTATGTCGGCTCGCATTAGCCGCGCGTTTGCAAGCTTTTCGTGGTTTCAAACGTTCAAACATGTGATTTGATGTTGCTCCCATACATTATTAGGGTGGGTGTCAAGGTCACCTGAAGGTCAGGTCAGGTCATTGACCTTTGGTGACCTCGGGTGACCTCGGTTCACTTTTTCGAGTTTTACATGTTTCTAGGCTAGTTTTTGGAGCTGAAATCGAATTTAGGAACCATTTGAACATTTACGAAGTAGTTTTGGTGCCTTCGTAACATGTTACGAAGCTGTCAGAGGCGGTTGACACGTACTACGAATACCCGTCACAACCCCTACCGGTTGACCTGACCTGACCTGACCCGACCTGGTCTAAATGCTTAAAAACATCATCTCTGATCAAAACTAACACGATATTCGTGATCAGCACCCCGGAAAACCACATAGCAGCCACACTTTACGACAACAGGTCCCGATTTTCCCGGTTTTCGGGCCATTGACCTGACCTGGAAGGTCACCCGATGACCTAGGACCTTAAAATTGGATATCATCGGCTTCCTCTCGTGACGGGCAACACGCTCGTTTTTTCCGCGAAGCTCTAGCTCGATCAGGGGCCAAACGCGAGGGGGGGGGTCGTACCAACCCCTTGTGCCGTCGAAGGACGCAAAATGGCCTGTGCCGGCGAGGGTTAAAGCGTAGATGTGCAGTCTTTTGAAGACTTCCTTTCAAAGTGTTCTGCCCTTTTTCACTCGCGTGCGTCCCTAGTTGTACGACTTTCTGTCGGTTGCGGTGTTCTGTCGCGTTTGGTGTTTGCTGTGTCGGCGTCAATAGGGGCTGTGTCGGCCGCCCCGGCCCCGAACCGGTACCCCGCGGACCCCGAGTGTGACCGCCTGCCCCCCCCCCCCCGCCCCAGTCGATCCGTGACGGTGTCATCGAGGCCACCATCGACCACGACGCCGGCTTCGTGCGCAGTAAGGAGCTGGTCGACATCTACTGCACGCGCGAGCCGCAGCTGGCCTTCCACCAGCGCATCAAGTTCTGCCTCAACATGCACAACCAGAGCGTCAAGGACATGCGCTTCCCGCCCAAGAGCTACAGCAAGGATCTGGAGTCGGCCGAGGTAGGTGGCGCCACCGCGGACGGGCTGGGGCCGGCGGTCACAGAGCTCAGCCGGCGCCCTCCGCAGGTCTGACGGTGTGTCCGACCACCGGCTGCCGTCTGAGCCGGTCACAGGTCCGGAGCGGGTCACAGCCTGTGACCTGTGACCTGTGGCTCACACGTCACACTGACCGCTGCACTGTGGGGACTTTGCCCCTCCTAGCACGACATTACTCCTGCGGCGGTACGCCGCAGTCAGCTGACCGCCGCGGCGCCGGGCAGCGCGGCGGAGCACTGGGAGCCACGTGACATCTTCTGCTTTGATGTCTCGTAGTAGCTGTTTGGGCAAAATTGGGCAAAAGATAAGAGTTGATTCCAATGCAGCATTTATGGGAGAATATTTTGATATGTGTTTCCACACGTACCACCGCGTATCAAACTTTGTAAGGCTATGATTTGCCGAGTCAAATATCCGAGACAAGTGGCATATTAACATTTTTCGTATTTCATTCAAAAATCATACCTTTAGATTATTTTTCGAACTTTTCATGCATATGTCTATATTCCTGATAGAATACAGATTATAAAAACATGTCGCAACATAGAATTGGTGCTTGATTAAACCAGTGAGCAGGCGTTTCGTTGTCATGTAATTTTTCGCCTTATCCTAGGAGCACGGTGCTAGTCAGCGCAACCCTTCACTTTGTGACGTATTTTGATGTATAAGTCATCATTTTTAAAGCGATTTAAGGTCGGATTCGGATACACTGAACAATTCTGCGTAGAAAGGATATAAAGAAATTGGAAATCAAAATGCTCGTATTTGTCACTTATGTCGTGCTAGGATCGCAAAAGTCCCCACGGTGCGCTGACTGAGCGGGTCACACGTCACACTGACCGCCGACTGAGCGGGTCACACGTCACGCTGACCGCCGACTGAGCGGGTCACACGTCACACTGACCGCCGACTGAGCGGGTCACACGTCACACTGACCGCCGACTGAGCGGGTCACACGTCACACTGACCGCCGACTGAGCGGGTCACACGTCACACTGACCGCTGACTGCGCCAACTTAGCGGCTCGGGAGGCTCTCTGTTGGTAGTGGTGCCCTCCCGTCCCCCGGCCCTTTATCGGTACCGCTCCCGGCCCTCCGTCGGTACCCTCCCTACCCCCGGCCCTCCGTGGGTACCCTCCCGACTCCCGGCCCTGCGTCGGAACCCGGTTCCCTCCCGTCCCCCGGCCCTCCGTCGGTAGGTACCCTCCCGGCCGGTGATCGCGCGCCGCCTCAGTGGCACCACGGTGCACCGGACGCCGGGATAGTTTGGAGCAGTTAGGGATGTCGACATTGGCTCCCTCCCCGGGGCCGCTGACGTTAGCGGCCCCGGGGTTCTGCTCTCAGCCCTATTGCTGATCAAATGACATCAACACGGCAGCTCACCATTGTTTGTTATAATATTTCCGGCTGCACAAGAGCTTAGTGATTGACGGCAATGTTCTACTTTTGTTTCCACGCTCAGATATCATGGTTTATTGTCGTCTCCAACGTAGTTTTAGGAACCCCTATCCCGTGGGTCTACCATCCCGCCAGTTTGGCTTCTCACAGCAGCTCCGTGAGGGGTGGCCGTCCACCAGTCTGGCTCTCGGAGCAGCTCCGTCAGAGCGGCGGCTCGACGGGCACGCACAGCGCCCTATTGATCCACCGATGGCGGCCAACGCGCCAAAAACGGACGCGCTCGTCAAAAACGCGGCCGGTCGCTTTTTGCGGCTGCGTGCGGCGCTGGAGGGAAAATTGAGGCCTGCGGTGGCGGTCGATGGGCGGACTGGCTAGCTCAGAGTCGGGTCGCGGAGCGGCTTACAGCGGGCTCGGCGGGTACACTGACGGCCCGCCTCCCGGGGAGGGCGACTCGGCCGCGGTCCGGGTACACACGGGGACTGAGGACAGTGTGCCGGGGATGACCGCGGCTCAGCTGGCCCGGTGAGGTGTCGGTGTCCACAGGGCGCGTACCGGACCGTGGCCACCGACGGGCTGCCGCGCGGTGCCGCTAACAATGTTATTCGGCCGCCCTAAAACCCCAATCTCCGTCATAAACTAGCCAGGCGCCGGAGTTGTGCGGTCTGGGGATGATTACAGGTGCCCGGCGGGCGATTTCCAGCAGTCGGAGGGTGGGTTTTTGTGCGGCGCGTGGGCGGAGCGGCGGCCGGCCGTCGCCGTGGCCCGGTGCCGGTGCAGTCCGCCGGCGCACACAGCCGAGTCGTCGGTTACGGCCCGTCACGGCCGGCGGCTCGGCGCCGGTGACCCGCCGGCCGACCCGCCACCGGGCGCGCTGCCGCAGCTGGGACGGCGCGGCGCGCCGCTCGCCGTGAGCTATCGGGCGGCTGTCCGGCTCCGCCTCCCCCGCCCGTGCCTCATCGCGCCCATCGGACGCACTGTCGTGCTCTGGAAGCGTGCGCGCCGCTCGTATGTGGAAAGTGCGTCGACCGGTGGGGCTCTGTCGGCGATTTTTGAGGGTGTTCCCGTGCGCTGGCCGGTGCCGGCCACTTTTTACCGTTGTTCTTCCACCTACTGTGGCCTTCTCGGACCCCGTCCCGTCCTGGGGCCCACCGGCTGTGACCTCCCCCTCCAGTCCAGTGGACTCGCTGTGCCCTCTCAACTCAACACTCCCCGTCCCGTCTCCGCGACACCGTCCCCGCCCTTCAGTGTCGGCCGCCTTTCTCCTGGCGTCTAATCGCTCTACACTCTGTCATCGCTTACACATGCACGCACCAACACAGCGATGGATGAGACGGCGTGGGGTGTCCGTAAACTGATCCGATCCCACGTCTCCGAGCCGCCTCTCTTTAGCAATTAGTGTTACTAGAACTGTATCTCTACAGTTCCACCTACGAATAGTATATTGGGCGAAATTGTTCTGGCTATATCCCGCTCAGTGGTGAATGGGTGGGAAATTGGTTCACGATTGTTGTCCTAGCGGATCGGACATTGTTTTAATGCTGACAGCGTCAAGGGCGCGGCTGTGAACGCCGTATCGTTTTTGTTCCGCTATAAGTCAGCTCTCGGGCCACTCCCGCACCGGCCCGCTGGCTGCTGCGCCCCTGGAACTCGGTGCCAGGCCGGCGGCCGCTCGCTGCTCTGCACGAAGCGCGCTGGTTGCGGGCAAGAGCGCCTGTCAATTGACGGCAGCGGGGTCTGCTCCTGCGCGGATACCCACCTCCACGCTGGGCGCCTTTGCGTCACCCGCCAGCTTCGGCGGCGGCGCCTGTGCGGAGCGCGATCAGCTGAAACTCCCCATTGGCTGCCAAACTGGCCTGGTTCCGCGTTTTTCCACGGTTTGACCGTGTGCCCGCCGAGGAAGTGAGGCTCGGTAATGCGGAGGCGGGCGGCCGCGCAGTGGCGCTGCTGGACGCGGACGGACGGGTCACACAGAGTGGCGGCTCTGGCCGTGTCGGATCTCATACCTCGGGCTGGGGTGTATTGGACCTCAGGGTCGGCGGTGGGACCCCGCGGTCGGCGGTGGGACCCCGCGGTCGGCGGTGGGACCTCGGGGCCGCGGCGACTCGGCGACCTCGGTGCGCCAGCGCTGCCGGCCTCGCAGCGCACGCAGCACGCACGTCTGTTTTCGTCGGGCGTGCGCCGCCGGTACAAGGCCGCTTTTTGCCGCGGCGCGCCGTTTTTCGTCTCGGCGCGCCGTTCGTGCCGCGCCGGCTGCCGAGGGCGGCGGGCTGCAACTTCCGGCCGGCGGACGGCGTGCCGAGGCCGGCCCGCACCGGTGGGTGTGTTTGGAGCCGTGTGCTGCCGAGAGTGGCGCACTGAGCTCCGTCGGTGTGCTGTCCGCCCTCGGTGGACTCTCCTCGCCAACATTGTTCATGCACGCCAAAACTGGGCTCACTGGTATCCGTGCACCAATAGGCACGCCTGCACACCTGCGCCCCAGTCGCTGGTCGCCACGAGGAAAAGTTGCAGATAAAATACACGGTCCCGCAAACGAACTCCGAAAAGTGCTGACTTGGACCCTATGAATAGCAAACAGTGTCATTCATATGAATTTTCCTTACCGTCCCTTGGTTTCGGCTTGTTTGATTTGTTTTGTGGTTGTTTTTTTTCGAAATATGGTTGTGGAGAATCAGTCAGCATCTTGTGACTTCTTTTTGCTTCTTAGTCGCGATTGGTCTTGCTGGATGTGTAGTATGTACCGCGAGTGCCACATTTTCCTTGTGTGTCTGTGTCTACAGGTAACTTCACCAGGGACTGTTGGTGTGCTACTCAGTAGCGATGGCACGGGCTGGGCAATTCACACCATTGGCTCTCTGACGAAGAGCAGATCGGTGTTGAAAACCGATTACTAACTGATGGCAATTGGGCTTCCCTGTCAGCCAATAGCCCTACTCTTGTTGGGCACTGTCAGATACTGTGGTGGACCTGCCGCAAGGCTATGTGGATTGTGGCTGTAGGAGCGCCCCTCACCCATCTAGGAGCGCCGCTGACCCTGCCTTCTGCCCTGTGTCGTCGGCAGGAGCGCCGCGAGCGGGAGCAGCAGGATCTGGAGCTGGTCAACGAGATGGCCGAGGAGGACGAGGAGGACGGCTTCCTGTGAGGAGGCCCGCCGCGCCCCGCCCCGCCGGCCACCCCGCGGCCAGCCGCCGCGCCGCCGCCGCCGCCGCTCGGCAGCGCCCCTCGCCGCCGGCCAGAGCCCCCGGGCCGGGCCGGAGCCGGAGCCGGAGCCGGAGCCGCCGCCACTGAGCGGAGACCGACCGAGGTACCGGGACCGGGGACAGACTCGGCCTGTCCGCGGCCCCGCCCGCCGAACTGGGCTCCATTCGGCGGCGGGAACACTGCGCCGGTTTTCTGGTTTAGTTTTTCTCCAATGTGCGCGCTATATGCGATGTAAGTAACCATCTCTATCCTTGCGAGCAAATAAATATTAAAGTCGCGTGATTTTTCATAACCGTTTAATGGGTTGCCTGCTTGCCACCTCCATTTAGGCTATCCGATAGGTACGCCAAGTACTTCAGTAGCTGCTTACCGGCCGTCGGCCTCTGTCGGCATGGGCACTTAGAGAAGAACGCTGTTGTCTCCGCCGGAACCAAAGCCTGTCAGCCTCACAGAGGTCCTGATCAGGGCGCCAGTCCGTGTACATCACACGCTTATGGTTAGTGTCCTTTCAATACATGGTCCTCCTCTGGAGACAGAGTAAGACTACGCGAACTGGGGCTACGGCAGACAGAGCACGACCACTGGAGACGCACTGGGACCACGGGAGATGGACCGCAACCACGGGAGACAAAGTAGGACCACGGGAGATAGACTGGGACCACGGGAGACAAAGTAGGACCACGGGAGATAGGCTGGGACCACGGGAGACAAAGTAGGACCACGGGAGATAGGCTGGGACCACGGGAGACAAAGTAGGACCACGGGAGATAGGCAAGGACCACGGGAGATAGGCTGGGACCACGGGAGATAGGCTGAGACCACGGGAGATAGGCTGGGACCACGGGAGACAAAGTAGGACCACGGGAGATAGGCTGGGACCACGGGAGAGGGTAGGGTCACGGGAGATAGGCTGGGACCACGGGAGAGAGAAGGGGCACGGGAGAGGGAGACAGAGTAAGATAACGGCAGACGTGCCACGGACGGGGCCAGCTCCGCCAGCGACCAGCCGAGGTACTGGTAGCGTAGCAAGGTGCACGCTGGATGCATTGTACGCCCTAGTGTTGGTCCCGAGCGTTCCGACACGGCTGCCTAGGGCACAAACGTGTGACTCGGTTGGGAGCTCCGGGTAGACAGCGCTCGCTCTGGGTAGGTAGTGGGTCGCTCTGGGTAGTTAGTGGGTCGCTCTGGGTAGGTAGTGGGTCGCTCTGGGTAGGTAGTGGGTCGCTCTGGGTAGGTAGTGGGTCGCTCTGGGTAGGTAGTGGGTCGCACTGGGTAGGTAGTGGGTCGCTCTGGGTAGGCAGTGGGTCGCTCTGGGTCGCCCTGAACAGAAGCCGACCGTCCCGGCCTCCGCAGCATATCGATCGCCGGCTCCGATGACCGAGAATCTGTCGCGGGATTACAGTTTCTTGCGCGCCCACGTAGCAGCTTGCCGAAGTAAATGAACGCTCCACAGCTGTTTTTGTCATTACTTGCGACTCTGATGCTGGCAAAATTAGCTTTGCAAGGCGGAAAAAGCAGCAAACCGAGCCTCCGGCCGGGAGGCTTCAGAGAAGAAGCCGCGGAGGAGCGCCGACTGGCGTTTGGTGCTGACGGTGTGACCCGGATCGGCGGTCAGCGGCACAGTGCTGCCGGCGACGCCGACCCAGCCGTCCCGACACCGGTCACACCAGGGCAGCGCACAGTGGGGATTTTTCCGATCTAGCACGTATTTATTCGTAGAGGGCAAACCATAGGTAGAATTGTAGCCAGATTGTGCACAGATGTTGGCTGGTGTGTCCTGGTGAGAATTTTACCTGTAAATGTGCATAATCAACATAGTAAAGGGGGTTCAATTGGACCCCCGCTCAGCCGTTTGGCCCCTGATCAAGCTAGAGCTTCGCGGAAAAGTCAAGCGTGCTGCCTATGACGAAATTAGGCCGAATATATCCAATTTCAAAGTCCAAGGTCATAAGCTGACTTTCCAAGTCAGTTTAATGACCCAACTAAAGTTGGGAAATCGAGACCTCTTGAAACTTCGCAAAGTTAGGGTGTTACGGGGTATTTTGGGGTGCTGATCACGAATTTCATGTTAGTTTTGATCACAGACGATGTCTTTATGCATTTAGGCCAGGTCGAGTCAGGTCAGGTTAGATCAATTAGTAGGCGTCCTGCCGGCCATCCATAGAAGTGTCACCTACTACTGATAGCTTCGTAACATGGAAAGAAGGCACTAGAACTACTTCGTAAATATTCAAATGGCTGCTAAAATCGAAATCAGCACCAAAAACTACCCAAGAAACAAGTAAAACTCGAAAAAGTGAACCAAGGTCATCAAAAGGTCAATGACCTTGTCTTGACCTTCACGTGACCTTGACTCCCACCATTATGCATGGCACCAACATCATTTCACATATTTGAACGTTTAAAACCAAAAAAAAGACTGGAAACCGCGGATAATGTGAGCTGGCATACGCCGAATCGCGATTCCGGCCAAACATGGTCTCGAGAAATATGCCACAGGTCAAAGGTCAGTTGGGTCAGAGTCATGAAATTTTTAGGTTAGATGTAAAATTGATGATCTCGAGGGTACCGAAAGTTTCGGCGCGATCGGCCGCTTTTTGCGCGAGTAATTTGCGGAAAACCATGAGGTTTTATCCGACCCCTTCCCCCTCCCCCTCCCCACAAGTGCGATGGTTAATAAGGTTACGGTATTTATAATTTACGCTTGTCATCCTATTCCTAATGAATGTGTCTCAGAAAATATGCATCATATAAATCACGAAGTAAAATTATTCGCCTATGTCCGGAACGTTCCTATATCGTGCTCTTTGCCCTAGCGCTCCTCGAGTGGGGTGTTAAGATACTCTAATGTGAATATTCCGTGTTCAGGCAAGTTTCGGCAGCCAAACTAGGCGTTGTCTTGTGCAGAAGAAAGTGGCGAATTCGATAGGATATATTTCGGAGTGGAAAAGTGTGGAGAACATTGTTGATTTCCTACATTTATTTAGAATAGGGGAGAACGGGGTCGATTGTAACATTTTTTGCATTTTATCATCTGGTGCAAACACGTTTGCAGTTATAAAGCTCTTTCCTTTATTTTCAGAAACTATGATGTTTTGTCTTTAAAATGAAGTTAAAACATTTGCGAAATAACTTCTTTTTTCGGGTCAAAATTGTGGTCCGAAAAAGTCAATTCAGCTGTTACAATTCACCCCAGATACGGGGTAAAAAGTAACACCACCCGGGGACAATTGTAACATGTTAACTTACAGGCTACAGCAACACAATTTTTTCCAAAACTTTGATTTAACAAAAGCATTGAACACTTGTTCATCTTCCCAGACTTGGTAGGTACGGTTCTTCTGAGGAAAAAAGGCTTAAAACGTCGCACTTATACATGAGGTTGGATAGACCTCCTCTCCCTCGGTTTTTCGCAAATAAATCGCGTAAAAAGCTGCCGATTGCGACAAAACTTACAGTTCTCTTAATTCTAGCAAAGTTTCATCTCCCTTGAAAATTTGACGACTTTGACATAATGGTCACTGACCTATAACCTGTTACATTTGACCCCTGCAAAAATGTTACAATTGTCCCCATCGCGCCTTGACATATTTTAGACGAAACTGGCGCAAAAAAGATGTTGCATATACAGCATTTAATGCTTTCAATTTATGGACAACAAGCCTGCCAACGCTAACACAAAGTCTGAAGTCGATATCATTTCAATGGCGGGAATGAGCTTATCAAATATAACGGTATAAGAATTTACAAAATGCTCTCAAAAACACATTACTGTGCACAGCCATCGACATACCCGGCACTCTCGCTTCAAACTCCGTTGGGAAAGGCAGTATAGAATTACACATTTTCGGTCTTAACATCAGCTCATTCTATTGGTAAGTTTATGAGTTATTAACACTGTTACAATTGCCCCGTGTTACATTTGACCCCGCTCTCCCCTACCATTCCTTCAATATGGTGCCTGTAAGGGTTTTTTGTAAACGGCATTTTTGTGACCTTAGTAAGGTTGTGGCATACTTTCTGTTTGCCATTCCATTCCTAATAAAGGTGCCTTTCAGACGATATGCAACTTTAAGACCTCGCAAGATTAAAACCAACAGGACAGGACAATGAAATTGAGCTATACTTTCGGGCCTTGCTGAGCCCATTGAGTAATCACGCATGAGTGTGAACTTTGGGCGCATTTTTCCTAGTTTTGCTGTGGACATACAGATAAAACAATGCCATATATGAAAAATTCAGACATTTCTTAGCCCTACTGACACAAAAAATAAACAAAAATCCAAAAAATATTTTTTGAATTAATAGGCGCTAGATCGGAAAAATCCCCACTGTGCAGCGGTGCAACGCGCAGCACCTGCGGACACATCCGAACCGGAACGGATCGCCCGAAATGGCACCGCAGGCCGCAACCCGCGCCCGTATTGGTGTTTTTCCAGCCGCGAACGTATAAGGGGGGGGGGGGGGGTCCGTTGGGTCCCCCCTTGCCGTTTCGCCTCTGATCGAGCTAGAGATTCGCGGAAAAAAACGAGCGTGTTGCCCGTGACGAGAGGAAGCCGATGATACCCAATCTTAATGTCCTAGGTCATTGGTTGACCAATGACTGAATAGTCGGGAAGGTCAGGTCAATGACCGAAAAGTCGGGGAATCGGGACCTGGTAGAACGTCGTAAAGTGTGGCTGCTATGAGTTTTTTTTTTTGGGGTGCTGATCACGAATATTATGTTAGTTTTGATCACTGCCGATGATGTCTTCATGCATTTAGGCCAGGTCGGGTCAGGTCAACCAGTAGGGGTCCTGCCGGCCGCCGGGTATTCGTAGTAGGTGCCAACCGCCTCTGACAGCTTCGTAACGTGTTACGAAGGCACTAAAACTATTTCGTAAATGTTCATATGGTTCAAAAATTCGAATTCAACTCCAAAAACTGCCCTAGAAACATGTACAACTCGAAAAAGTGAACCGAGGTCATTCAAGGTCAATGACCTGACCTGACCTTCAGGTGACCTTGACACCCAGCCCAATGCATGGGACCAACATCATTTCATATCTGTGAACGCTTGCAACCACGAAAAGAATGCAAACGCGCGGCTAATGCGAGCCGACATATACGCCGAATTGCGATTCCCGTCAAACATGGTCTCGAAAAGTAGGTCACAGGTCAAAGGTCATTTGGGTCAGGGTCATGAAGTTTTCAGGGTAGGTGTAGAATTGATCAAATCGAGGGCAATGAAAGTTTCGTCGCGATCGGCCGCTTTTTACGCGAGTAATTTGCGAAAACCCTAG